AGGTGTTGACACGAAGTTGACTTCCATCTACCTTGTGATTTTTCAGAATTCCTTTTAAGTTGGAAACTTACTTTACAACGGCCAAATTGCTGAGGTGAACTTTTTTTAAAGAGTAAAAGTAACGTTATTGTGAAATATTGCCACGCGAACAATAATCCTGTTCTCGTCAAGGGGGCTATGAACATGTGTCCCGACACAATGTAAATGTTAGAAAAATAACGTCAGGGCCGCGGCCATCTGCTTGTAACACGACAGGTTTGTGTCAGGGGTTTTAAGCATCAATGGGGGCCGGTTTTTGGAGTGAAACAAGTTAAAAACTTTACTGAAGAACATGCGAAACATTATATGATGAAGTATTGCTCTCCGTAATGATAATCATGAAGTTTAGAGGTGTTGCAATACTATGTATGTCTTGCACTGGTGGATGGACTAACAGTGTACAATTCATTAAGGTGTCAGCTTAAGATGGTCTAACTCAAGAATGTGTCCGGTCAGTTTCTTCTTTCTTTTAGCTTGAGGAGTTATATTATTTTATTAGCTTATGTGATGATTTGATTGTTTTCTTCATGTAATGCCCACGTCATGATAACCTGACAATGTATCATCTAAATTTAGAAGAGCGGTCGAAAACTTAAAAAATACAAGGAGTAATTATGTCGACTGTTAATGGCAAAATGGAGCAGGGGGCTGTCAGTAAGCAAATTACTCTGCAAACAGAAGCCATCATTTTGGAATTCACAGTGTAGTAAAACCTTTAAAAATGCCGATACTACATCCTTTATTACGAATACATTACACCCAGAGGCATGATGAAAATATAACAGCAAAGGCTTCAGAGAAAAGCCCCTCTGCGCAGCAGAGCCCGTGGTGTTTTTTCTCTATTTTTTTATTTTTTTTTTATTCATTTTTTTATAAACGAGAGGGAGTTGCTGTTATAGAGGGAAGAGCGCTTCCATAGTACTACTTTAGTCGCGGAAATGGTCGACATATTCAAGTTTTTGAGTATCAACATTTTGGAGGATTTAACCCTAAAAGAGCCGGTTTATTTTGGCCCATCTCACAGCTGGGGGAGGGGGCGCATCCGCCCCAAGAACTCGGCTGTGCCGGGCCTGATTTTTAAAAACTTAGCATGCGTGTACAAACACTGCATATCATTACAACTGTGAAGTTTAAGTTCAATCAGACGTATGATTTTGTTGTTACGGTCATCTAAAGTTCAAGGGTACGTGTCTGCCAGTATGCGTGCATTGAGAACCGCAATGCGCACTGCGCTCCGCGAGAACGGTGTGCTCGATTTTTGCAGAAGTGACCGCAAAGAGTTACTCTAAAAACTCCCAAAGGCTCAACTCTTGAAAAAACAGAACCACGCTGCGGCGATAATAAAAAAAAAAGGTCGAGGGGAGGGGGTGGATTTCGCCCCCCAGCTCTTAAGGTGCCCTCACTGCATAGTTTCATCTGGACCTCGCCGTGCTGGTGGAACTCCACCGGGCGGTGGCAGGGATTGTTCTGACGCTATCCGTTACAGTCTGTGGTACACGAGTGCTTAGCGGTGGATAGGAAATGTCTTTGGCTAGTGTTTGAAGCTGCGTCACATATCATAGACTTCAGCTGCCGTCCACTGAAAACATCTGTCAGAAACGATGCGTGAAACGAGCGTGTGCCACAGCGAAAGACAAGTCACGTCCTGTGCACTGTCTGTATCATTATTTTTTCCTTCAGGAAGACAGCTGTACTCACTCAGAGTAAACGCACCGTAAACTCTTTCTAGTCGAGAGCCAGGCTTTGTTTGACAATTATTGCAGAGGTTATAACCTGTGATTGGTTCAGTTTAGCACAAGCATGTGTTTCTCCCTCCATGGCACAAGTAACAGATTCTTGAAGGACCTTTACGGATGCTAGCTTGCTGATTAAATTTGTATTTACATCTGTATTTGGATTCCACGGATTCATGGATTCCACGTGGTTGAGGAGTTTCAAAGTAAACTCGGTGATCGGTACTGTATTGGCGTCGATTTCTGAATCCAACTTCTGTCGCTTAATCGGGAGGATAAAAACTCAATCGAAGCGAATGGTAACAGCTAAAACATATAGGTATTTTGGTGCCCTTGCTCCATATCCGGTTTGTAAGTGACTTCGTCAAAACCTTCCGGTTCCATGGTTTCCAATACTCGACTGTAGGAAACCAATCCTCGATGGTGGGCCTGTAGCGTTTAACTTGAATTGAAATACTGTAATGTTTGGCTCTTTCACATCTTACTTGATGTTTTGTGGCACTATCAGACTTACTATTGCACTTATAACCTCAAAGTCCGGACGTAAAAAAAAAACAGTTGAAGCCTGAGACGGAGCCCAAGTCAAGTATTGGAAAACGGCCCATGTAAACGGCGATCAATGCATGAAACTCTATGTGCAGTACACGTGCAGTGGGTTTGGTTTAAACTGAAGTGACGTCACACTTACGAACCGCATAGGCCATATTATGGCAATTTAGAGATTGGTCAGAACTACTCCAGAATAATGTCATTGGTGCATGTTATAGCAGGATTCTGTACAAGAACGATTTAAACCTGTGACAGCCAAGGGTTCGGTGCCCTGTTGTATTTTAAAATTTAAGTTCCGCCTTTAAGGTTTAATTGTGAAACGGTGCTTTTAAGATATTGATGACAAAAATAATTGAAAATAATTTCGTAACACAAAAATCCGTTCTTTTATTATCTATTTTCTCCATTCGGGCTTTGTTTTGTGATCTATTTTCAGCGTCCTTGAGTCTGCATTTCTAGCTCATTGGCATCTACCAACGTCCCGAGTTTGCCCTATAGGAGCTGTTCATAAAGTATGTTTGCAGGGGTGGGAGAGTGGAGGAATGTCGATACTGATATCGAAGCACGACGCTCACAAATTCTGTATTTAATACAATGATGATGCCATTAATATGTCACTATAAAGATTTTCGACGACACAAAAACTAGTGGCGCTATAGCGCCACTAGTTTTTGTGTCGTCGAAAATCTTTATAAAACAGTCCCTTTCATCACCATTGAGATATTTATCAAGTTACCGGTGCAAATTATCTACTCAACACTGCGAAAAAAACCTGTGTTTAGCCGTGTCTAACGTTGCTTCACTTTTTAAAGTTTGTACAAAGGCCTAAGCATATTTAAATGTTACACAGGTTAGACTTTGAACGGATAGCTATCGAAAACTGATGGTTGCAAGAATCGAACACCAAATGTTTTGCATCTAAAGATGTTTGCAGAATGAGAGCAAGGTTGTGTTCAATTGCTGAACACAGCTTTTAGATTGGCGAAACAAGTGAAGCTCGTCTGCCTACGGGGGGGAGCGTCAGAACGTCTGCGTATGCTGTAAACGCACAGGGAGAAGGGTGGTCTGATGAAACGACAGCAGTTGTGTGCGGATTTAAATATGAATGGCCTAAGGCCTTGACATTTTCTGCTATTCGGCACCGCACGCGCAGCTGCGCTATAATCGCCTTAAATTTGATTTGTAATAAATGGTGAACAAAGCGCTCATGCTGTTAATTAAACTTGGAGATATCATTGATACGTCGCGTATGTGCAGCAACAATAAGGTTAAGAAATAAAGTGTCGTTTGCTCAGCAGACTGGTATTCTCAGGTCTTTTGTCTTAAACCCAACACACATTGTAACGGATCGATGTCTTCAAATGCCTTCTTCCAGGGACCAGACGAAACTGTATTTGCAAGAAAACCACACTCCGGAGTGTTCGGTACTTACACAAAAACTACACTCCGGAGTGTTCGGTACTTACACGAAAACTACACTCCGGAGTGTTCGGTACTTATACGAAAACTACACTCCGGAGTGCAGTATTATGTATCACCTTCCAAATAGCCTTCCAGAGCACTGATTACGTTTTCACCCCAGAGGGCATGTCAATTTTTCGGTACATCAATCCCATCACCAAGAGCTGCCGCACCTTTTGTGACATGTTATCACAGCCCTTGCTGCAGTTTTGAACAAATATCGCGTTTACTTTCAAAAATTTAGACCGTGTGCCCAATATATATAGTGCGGTACTAACGGGTGTAATACGGAGGCAGGGGGGGGGTTCGTGTCTGCCGGCTAAAGTACTCCCCCCAAATTGACATTTTAAAACGTGCACCACTTATGCGCCTAGTACGTTTCTTTCTGTGCCCCCTTGAGAAAACAGGTGCCTGCCCAGAAATTTCACCTGTGTGAGCGAAACTGTTCAAGAGTGTTCCATGTAGCCAACGGTAACCCTTCTATACGGCCTTCCAGTCAATTTTCACCCATACTTGAGTTGTAATGCATTTTAATTCATACATTTGTAAACTCGGGCACACTGTTCTGGCGAAATGCTAGCTTGTAGGGCCAAGACAGATCACATGCGCTGAATTCAAACAGGTCGCCGTATATGAGCTGTAGGGGGCATGCACTTGTATTGACGTTATTTTGACACCAATTTTGTGAAAACTGGGCATGCTGTTTTCACGCAAAGCCCATTTAGCTTGGACAAGGCCAAAATATTGTGCAGTTTTTCCATTTTAAGTGCTTAATACACGGCTCAGGCTATTTGCGTGTTGCCAACTAACTACCTTATAACAACAAATCAATGTGTTAATGGATTAAATTCAAACTTCACAGTTGTATGATCATTATTGTTTTAACATGCCTGCAAATCTTCTGAAAGACCAACCATGGGACAGCCAAGTTCTTAGTTTATCCTTGGAGAATCCCAGTGAGATGTCTATCTGTGAGATGGTCCAAAAACAGCTCCTTTCTTTCAGGATTAAAGGTGATGATCTCAACAACTTTCTCACCGTGGAGAGTTTCACTTGAAGGAATGTATGATGCATATCAGTTTACAATGTCATGACCCTTCCTTCGTTCAAGCTCCTGAAAACGATGTGTAGAGCTGCAAGCCTTAATTCGGCTTGTGTATTTTGTCAGTTGTCTAAAACTTCACGAATGGAGAAGAAAGTAAGGAATTACCAACTTACCAGAAGGTGTTTCTTCTTCCCCTTGGCCAAGTTTGTCGCCGTTTTCTCTGGTGTCTTATAAAGGCAGGCGAGAGTATTTAATTCACAATGTCAAGCTGCGCAGTCAACGGACCACCCGATAGTGTTTGGGTGTACTCACAACCGTTGGTGCCTTTTTACAGTCGGCCCGCCAGCCAACCCATTTGCTGTGTTGTACCAGCTGAATATACCGGATGATTGCCCATGCGCATAAAATCCACGAAGGAATCGTCTGTTCCATGGAAAACTTTTTCGTATGCAGAATCTAGTTTTCGTTCCCGCCCACTGGCAATGAAAAAGGAAAAGGATAAAAATGCTGTTCGTCTACCTGTTGCTACTTTCATACAATGCAACGCACACAATGCCGTCATATGTTCGTTTTACTGACTTGTTACCAGGCGACGGATAATGTGACCTGAGTCTCGCGAGAGGGTAACGTTTTTGTCTAGTGCTCAATGAAAACCGCTGCCGTCTGTCATGGTTCAAAGACATGAGCCCATAATAAGTTTGCAAGATATATGCACGTGCGCAGTCCATTCTGCTGCTATATGCGTGTTAAATAATAATACTACATGTAGTGAAATAAAATGAAATGCCTATTGATCAACATTGCACTAGTCTACTGATGCATTTTGCATTGATGCGGTGGCAAATAAGTATCATGTACAGACAAATCTATACAAGGCTACAGTTGGCTTTCAATGTCCAATCGGAATATTGAAAAAAGAAGGGATGATGATCGAGCTGAGGATAAATAGCACGAGATAGACTCAGCTAATTGGGTTTAATTATTAATGGGGGGTACGCACATTGCCTGGAAAAAATGGGGACTTTCTGTATCCTCTTCAGGCTTTTTGGGAGGGGTAAGGCTAAATTGTAAGGCTTTTTCACGCCCTGGGAAGGAGTTGTGTTTCAGAACGGTGGACACATGAAAGTATTGAGAACCATAGCAACAAAGTGGATGCACTAGGGGTGATCGAAATTTGGATGGAGATTTCCAAAGTCATCCAAGATTACACCCAATGAAAGATTACGAAATAAGCTTTGATTTTATGTGTCTTAACATAGAGCAAGGACACAGAACACTGAAACAAGTGTTGGGTTAAAGTGTTAATTGCAGCGGTGCAATTATTCTGACACGTGGGCAATAAAACAAATGTCTGTGTGCAGATTCAATAAACAAGTCCCAGCCTCCGCGACAGCGACTGTCAAATTCTCTGCTATTAGAGCATTTCGTGGCGCGTGGATTGGGTGTTTTTTAAGATGGAGGATGGAATCTACCAGCAGGACTGCCAGCTTGTATTTCGAAAGTACCAGGCGAAACTGATCCCTCTAAATCGTGCCGTTTTCCAATAGAGTGTAGGCGTCAATTTTCAAAGTGGCGATGGACATCATGACTGTTTTGAGGGGTGATTTTTTTTGGAGAGAAATATCTACAAAAGTCATCGGTTAAGCCACTGAAAATTGAAAGGAGGTGAAAGATGGGGAAGTGAGTTTAATTTGATATGTGTCTTGAACACCTGAGAAACTTATAAGCATTTTTCCTGCTTTTTGATGTGGGGATATTTATCACTGTGTATGGGGCAGCTTATTTACTGATCTGTAACCTGCACGTCTGCGGATCAAAATGAATGGCGCCACCAAGCGTTTTCATTTGTTACTTTTTCCTACACCTTGTTCCTGTAGATCTTCTCTGCGTTATTACCGCGTACCTCGCACAATTAGCGGGACCAGACTATCTTGTCTTCCTCAGCACTTTGTCCTTTCGTGTTCATGCACATGTACTGTACATGATGTACACTTGTACGTGCCCGGTGTGATGTGAGGCTTCGTCTTCATCATAACTTACTCTAATTCCTGGCTTATGTGAGCTGTTATTAACATTTTTTGTGAAACAAACTATTTAGGGAAACTGACTAGGCTTGCTACGTCGTAGTTGCTGATAACTGATTATAAGGCATGTAAGGGGGGGGGGTTAAAAAAGGAAACCGAGATTAATTTCTTGGTGACTTCGACATGGTTAAATATTTTGGAAATTAGCCACCACCATGATCTCGGCTCCTCTTTCTTATGACACCAAGAAATCCAATTTACTGTCAAGATGACTAAGCGTGAAGCAGTGTAATCAACCATGTCAGAACTGGTCTTGCACCAGATTCACTGCAGCCTAACTCCAACTTGCCAAGGATTTTCACACCTAAAAGAAAAGAAAGACCATGTACCGTGTAGGTCATTGATATCTTGGGCATGTTGGGGTGGTAACTTGTAAACTTGGTTCTTAAGATTTTCTCACGAAAATAACTCACAAGGGGTTAGGTCAGGGCACCTTGGTGGCCACTCAGTCTCATGGTTGATCTCAATTACTCTCGTGTTGAGCAGCTCTCATAGCCTTTCCCCCATGATGATCCAACGATGCGCTGGAGCTCCATCCTAGGCTCAACATAGCAGCGAAACATTCCACCGTACTGTTCAAAGTGTTACTGTAACTGCAGTACAATTTCGTTGTTGATAATCTCAAGGTAACGTTCACCATTGAGATTGCCATCAAAGAAATAGGGTCCAATGACAGTGCCATCTCCACACAGACCTATCCAAAGAGAAATCTTCTCTCGGCTCATTTTTACGTCAAAACTGAAGTTGGATGGGGTATGCATCAGAGCGTATTGGCGGACATTCTGGTTATTGACTTGGCCATTCATGAAAAAGAATCCGGGATGCCGGTCAAGGAACCACTGGCATACTCTTAATCATCTGGGTAGATCTGCATCAAGGAGTTCGTGTTGCCTGTGCATCTTGTAAGGGTACCATTGGATGTCCAATCGAATAATCTTATGGAAAGAGGAGGGTGAAATTTCTAGCCCATTTCTCCTGGCAGACACATGACGGTCTCTTTGTACCAGGGTAGCAACTCACAGACAGCCCTGATGTTCACATCTGATATTGCTGTTCTTCGTTGGCCTGAGCGACCCTTGTTGAGATTCAAGCTTGTCCCCTCCCATTGGTACTTTTAGATGTTTTTCAAAATTGTTGACCTGGTGGGAATGGCACAGTCAGGAAAGTGCCGACCAAATGTATCTGTTACTTGCTGGAGGCTTCCGGTCCTCAACCACTCTGTTACCACAAACACACGCTGCTCAGTTGTAAGCTGAATTTTGCTGGTGTGAGAAAATGAACATTCTTTTCAACTTTAAGGAGTGTGCAATGAAATAACATGCTGAGGATTGCATAATTTAGAGTCCCAACAAAAGCCCTGCACTGGGCTGACAAGGTTCTTTACCAAAACATCTATCTGGTGCAAGACCAGTTCTGACATGGTTGATTGAACTGTTTTGTGCTCAGTCATCTGTGTCAGTAAATTGGATTTCTCGATTTCATAAGAGAGAGGACATCATTAGTTAATAAATGGTGGTAGCCAATTTGAAAAAATTTAACCGTGCCCAAGATATTAAACAAATTAATCTCAGTTAAAAAAAAAATACTGTAATGATGAACAAAGAAATTGAGTGGAGCGGGATTTGAACCTGCGATCTCTGGAACACCGTACCGGTGCTCTACCAACTGAGCTATCTACGTGTAACCGTGTGTTGGTAGCTCTTTCCATTTGTCAATATCTTATAATTTATATCTTTGTAATCATTTGTAAACACCTAGTCAGTTTCCCTTAAATAGTTTTAAATGTATCATGATTTACATGTATGTTCAAAAAGCTGTAGGCCTATCCTCTTCAAGTGATCCTTGTTCATCACTTCCCAGGTTGTATCGTGTTAATGTTACTTTAGGCCCTATCGGGGTGTGATCCCTGGCTACTGGTACGTGGTGTTTCAGGTTTATTGGCTTCTGACTTGCACCCTCTGAACAAAGATATTGACAAATGGGAAGAGCCAACATAAGGCTGGATAGCTCAGTTGGTGTAGCTCCAGTCCATCACTTTGTCCATCTTTATAGAGTAAGCCCTACCCGTCATACATGTACAGTACATGTACATAGGCCTAGCAGGTGTTTGCTTCCACTTATTGATTTCATTCAAAATATCTTTTCATTGTATCCCAAAGATGTACATACATGTACCTCTCAGCAGCATTTATCTTCCAAACCTTAGCCCGGAGTCAGCATGTTCAGTGTGAATCAGAGGATGATGGTGGTAAGGTTTGCTCACATACATGTACTGTACATGTATGGATGGACGCGACTGCGCGTGTTCATCCTGGCGCTTTTGCAACCTGAGGTCACAGCGAGATGAAAACACCGCTGACTTTTAATGTCAGAATGGAGTGGTTTGTTTTCACTGCAAAAAGGTCGCAAAGCTCCCGGATGTTGACTTGCGTCTTCCAGTTTTAAGAAAAGAAAATTTTCCATTTAAATGAGAAACCCTCCTGTTCGCTGAGCTCAAGATTGCAATGTTCTTCATGTGGCAATTCAAACTACCCGGTAGCACTAACGTCCATGATGGTGTAGTTGCTAGGCCCCTAATGTCATCACCTACAGGTATTGTCAAGTCACATTGGTTTCATAGTAAGTTGTGAAATAGGGACCTGGCGACTACCGTACATCATCTTGGACGTTGGTACATGTACTAACTTCAGGTCTCTAAGAGTAGTACTAACATGTACATGTAAGTTGCCTTCTGTTGATCTGCCCAGTCTGGCTCCAAATTTGTATCCTGTTATCTGCTTAGGTCTACATGTATCTACCAATTGGAAACTTGGACCCAGACTTCTTTTCCAACATCCGTATTACTCTGTCTGTGTAGCCAATGTCGGGCAGATCCAATAGTTTTCTAAAATGTCTGCAACATTTCCAAATGTTGCAGACATTTGGACACGTGTACAACTGTACATGTAGGTACGGTAAATGCATTACATTGTGACCGTTGTACAAAGAACTCTTACACAAATTACAGGATGTCATCGTTTTTTATTATTACAGTGTACATGTACGGTATTGTTATTAACTTTTATCGGGGGGGGGGAGTTGACCTCCCATCCCATCTTGGATTCATACTTGAGTGCTTGGAATGCATCAATTACGTTGTATATTCAGGAAATATAAAAATGAACTTACATGTAGTTTGCCTGAAACTTTGTATGCATAGTCTTGGCTTGCTGTCCCCCAAGACAGCAAGACTAGTGCTTGATAATGAATCATGTCAGAGTGCACCCTCTAGCCACTCAATAATTAGACCAGCATGCTTGTGCGCACTAATGTCCTGGGAAGTTTGTATCGGCAGCATTATTGGACATGTCAGGTGATCCTTTATGAAATCTCACCGACTATACAATGTACATGCACCTTGTTGGAAACAGTCTTGCACATCCATCCATTAACAATTAAATGTGATTTTTGTGGCAGAATTGTCCGCTAATTTTGAAGTAAAAAGATCAACAGAACAGCCAGAGATTGAGAAATCGTACAAATTGATGGATAGCACCCAACACACAGCTGAGCACCTCTACATTCAGACATTCCTAAGAACGGTCGCTTGCATGACTTTGTTATCACTTGTAGCCAGCGTCATCATGAGGAATCAGAGCCCGCAGCTGTCAAAAACAACATCCTTTTTTTTTGATATCCTTGAACATATTGAATTTTGTCTGCGTAGCCACTGCCAGGTGCAGATCCAGTGTTCTAACTACATATAGGCTTATTTTAGTGCTGGGTAAATTTTTGGATTACCAAGCGTAGCAAGCGCAGTGAGCGGAGCTCGAGCAGCTCATAGCTAGGTTTTTAGGGGAATCCCAGAAGGGATTTCCCCCACGTCATCGTGAAGGTATGTTTTTTGATACGAAGAAAATGAGAAATATACATGTACATGTATTTCTTGTGTCTTTACTTGTTTAAAATTGCAAAATAGTGCAAAATTGCGACTTTGTATGCTTGAAATATGATCAAATTGGTCCATTCTCAGCAATATTTCAGTTCATTTTTTGGAAAATCTGTGCTGGGCAGCACGGCCAATTTGAACTCAAGAGCCGTACAGAAATTTACTGTAACGGGTGGTGCTGCCGGCGTCTCCCACCTTGACTAGAACACTGGTCTGCAACATTTCCAAATGTTACAGACATTTGGACACATGTGTGCATGTACATGTAGGTTTGGTAAATGCATTACATTGTGACCGTCGTACAAAAAAACTCTTACACAAATTACAGGATGTCATTTTTTCTCTATTACTACATGTATGGTATTGTTATTAATTTTTTCAGTGTGGGAGGGAGGGAGTTGACCTCCCACCCCAGCCTGGATTCATACTTGAATGCTTGGAATGAATTGTACATAAGTACAGTGTACCTTCTTTGTGTAGCTATTCATTTTTTTGGGGGGGGGATAATTTTAAGTTATGTGGTATTCTGTGATCCCTCACCATTGAATTTTCTTAACCATGCATGTACATGTACAGCATGAATATAACTCATTTGCATCAATTACTGTGTATACATGTATTCATGAAATGTAAAAAGGAAACTTGTTTGCCCAAAACTTGTTCCCATGGCTGGATTCTTGAGCATACCGGTAGTCTTAGCTTGCAGCAGGCCCCCAAGACAGCAAGACTAGTGCTTGATAATGGATTATGTCGGAGTGCACCCTCTAGCCACTCAATAATTAGACCAGCATGCTTGTGCGCACTAATGTCCAGGGAAGTTTGTAACACTATATCAGTCACGTCAGGTAAAACTTCATGAAATCTCAGACTGTACATCTACATGTACACTGTACATGCACCTTGTTGGAAACAGTCTTGCACATCCATCCATTAGCAATTAAATGTGATTTTTGTGGCAGAATTGTCCGCTAATTTTGCAGTAAAAAGATCAACAGAACAGCCAGAGATTGAGAAATCGTACAAATTGATGGATAGCACCCAACAC